GGGCCATCGTGTTCGAGGGGATGGTGCCCCTGCCTGTGGCAGGGGGCTGGGACTGGAGGAGCTTTAAGGTCCCTTCCAACACAAACCATTTCATGGTTCTATAAATCTTGTCTTGGGCATAAAGCTTTCTCCCTCAAAATTCCCCCTCTAAAAGAACCACTTCTGATATTTGTGTGTTAAAACTGTTTGTTGCAGAAGGTGAAATATTCCACCTTCTGCCTTCCCCCTGCTGAGAGACCTGAAAACCTGCCTGAGACCTGAAAACCTCCACAAGAAGTTGTTTTAAATCCCTTTTCAGTTCAGGCCTTCAGAATGGCACTGACACAACTGAAGGTAGAGGATATTGTATTTATTATTCCTTTTTTTTTTTTTTTTTTTAAAATAAAGTTTTCCACTTGATTCACTGCATAACTATTCACTGGAGCAAAATGAACTACCAGCCTTTTGCCAAGAGTGCTCATCGCTTAGCTCTGCACCCTAAAGCCACCCCAACCCCAACACCAATGTGCACCATGTTAAAGACACAAGGGAGAGGAACAGTCTTTTCTTGACACTTCACAGGATACAAGATCTAGTTTACTGAGGTTACAGAGAGCTTTGCAAGCAGAGGAGGTGCTGCCAGGAAGAGATGCTGTGTCTGAAATCTTGAATTGCATTTATTATCAAAGTCATACTGTTTACATCTGTAATGTCAACGAGATGCCACAACTACAAAAAAAGATTGTGCACATTGCAGTTCCAATGCAAAAACCCAGTAAAATGGAAATCCATTTGTTAAAAAAGTACTTAAAATTACTCCAGAAAGCAACTGAATCGTTTGGTTTTTTTAAACACCTTTACATCCAGTCAAATTAAAATGGTTAACAAGGAGAAAAAAAAAAAAAAAAACCCAAACAAAAAAAACCCAAATACAAATTCCAAAACTGGGGGAGCAGTGTTAAAAAGGCAATTCCTTATTAAGCATTCCTGTCGATTCGCACGTCGATCTCCCTGCCCCGGAGCTGGATCCCGTTCATCATGCGGCAGGCGCGCTCCGCCACCTCGGGGGACTCAAACCTCACCACCCCACAGCCTTTGGACTTCCCATTCTCCATCTTGATGTCAGCGTACAGCACATGGCCTGGGGAGGAGAAGAGAAGGGGTTTGTTGAACCCAGGAGGTGCCACCCCACCCTCTCTACTTTTAGATGTGCCCAGTGCTTGGTTCTGGTATCTGAAGGGGGCTACAAGGATGCTGGAGGGGACTTGTGATCAGTGGCTGGAGCAATAGGACAAGGGGCAATGGGTTTAACCTTCCAGAGGGGAGATTGAGATGAGCTCTGAGGCAGAAGCTCTTCCCTGGGAGGGTGCTGAGGCGCTGGCACAGGGTGCCCAGAGAAGCTGTGGCTGCCCCATCCCTGGCAGTGTTCAAGGCCAGGTTGGACACAGGGGCTTGGAGCAACCTGCTCTAGTGGAAGGTGTCCCTGCCCGTGGCAGGGGGTTGGAAGTGGGTGACCTTTAAGGTCCTTTCCAACCCAAAGCAGTCTGGGATTCCATGATTCTGATTTAGAACTTCAAGCTGCAGGACAGCTTTCCCAAGCTGTTGTTTTAAAGGAGTGTTCCTGCTTTAAGAGATGAATTAATTCAAAGTGGTTCTCTCAATTCTCACTCCAGCAGCAGCAGGTGAATGGAGCAAAGCCCAGGGCAGCCCTGTCCAATTTCACACACCCTCCACACCGCAACTGATGAGGTCAGGGCTTGGTTTTGCCATCAGACAAGCAGCACAACAGATCAGGGAGCAAGGTATGGGCACAGCAACCAGAAAACCTCCTGGAAGCTGCTCTCAACAGGTAGTAGCTGACTTCAGAATATTAATTCTTTTCTTTGAGGACAGTTTTGCCTGTAATTATGTTCCTTTAGATGCAAAGTCTGTGCAGGTGCTTTCCAGCAGTTCTCAGGACTTCCATATCTCTATTCCCGTCCCTCTCTGCATGATAAACCAGCCCAAGATGGGAAGGGCACAAAAAAAAAAAAACGTGTTCTTGGATTATCAATCGCTTCCCAGCACTCAGAACAGGGATGACAGACATCCTTACACAGCTTGTCACAGGTTAAGATCTAGTATTTCCGTAAGGCTGAGTGAAATTTCAGTTCAAGATACTGGTGTTGGGGACACAGAGAGCCAGGAGTTGCTGTTTAATTCCTATTCCAGAGTAATAACCAGCAAGAGAATAAACTTACCACATTCATTAAATTTATCTTTCAGCATTTTCCATGTAAAATCAAAAGGCAGCTGTGAAAAGAGAAGAACAGACCATTACTGAGGAGCTCCTGAACAACTCGCAGGCACTGCCAGCTCTTCAGAACACGTTTTCCATTCCGGGACAGAGCTCTGATCCCGTTAAGGAAATAGCTTCAGCTCACAACAGCTTGAACTGCCCCTCTGGCTGCAATCAGTACTGGATGTTGTGACTGGAGCACAGAGATGAACATGTCAGTACTGATCAATTGCACGATGAGTGAAGGACAGGTAGGAAAGGGGCTACTCACGTTTCTCACAAATATCTGACAGGCTTTCCTGGCCACCCCAGCTGCAGGTCCTCCAGTTCCTCCAAGGGAGCCTGCAAAATTGCCTGCAAAGTTTCCACGTTCCATGTCCATTGTTCTTTCAAAATTGCTTCCCATGGCCAGTCCCATTCGCTCTATGCCTGCTCCCATGCCCTGCCCCATAGCAGGGCCCATCCTCTCCATATTAGTGGCTCCCATGCGCTCCAAGCCCATCCTCTCCATGCCAGCAGCTCCCATACGATCTATTCCTATTCTTTCCATAGGAGTGGCACCTATGCGATCCAAACCGGCCGGCATCCTCTCTATCACCTGACCCATTCCAGTTCCCATTCCAGCAGGGACCATACGCTCAATGCCTATACCCATTCTATCCATGCCAGAGCCCATCCGTTCTACACCTGATCCCATTCTGTCCATAGTGGCGCCAACGCGGTCGATGCCAGCACCCATCCTCTCGATGCCAAAGCCTATGCCAGAGCCCATGCGTTCCATGCCAGATCCCATCCTCTCAATAGCTGGGCCCATCCTCTCGATGTTGGGAGCAATGTGATCTATGCCCAGAGGGGCCATTCGGTCAATTCCTGATCCCATCCTCTCCACGTTGGAGCCCATGCGATCTAAAACAAGCCCCATCCTGTCCATTTCTGAGCCTACTCTCTCCATCCCATGCCCCATCCCGGAAGGTATTCTTTCTATTCCTGAGCCCATACGATCAATGCCAGGTGCCATCCTCTCAATCCCAGGAATGCTGGCATTTCCACCACCTGGAACACAACACACAGGTTATCAGTAATCACACAGTGACATACCACAACCCTAATGAGTGCTGAGATGACTGAAATGCTTTAAGCTTCCGCATCACTCCAAAAACCAATTGCTATGCTGCTGCAGGATGTGAAGCAAAGGTTCCTTTTGGATGGTAAGAAGGGTTCTGTTGTGGATTACACACATACACCATCGTGCATATAACCTGTTCAAGGCCAGGTTGGACGGGGCTTGGAGCAACCTGATCTATGGAAGGTGGCCCTGCCCATGGCAGGGAGTTGGTACTGGATAATCTTAAGGTCCCTTCCAACCCAAACCATTCCATGATTCTATGATCTTGTCCCAACTATAGTTGGGTCAGTGGAAAGTTTATCTGTTCACTAAGGAGCTTAACTTGTGTACATACAAAGAAAGCCTTCCACCCAAAAAGAGAGAACTCTGAAGGCATTTGCAAAGCTGGGAGAGGATCAGGTGGCAAAAGCTGTATCTTAAATACACTCTTAGCTGAAACTGTCCTGTGCAGCACATTGGAGAACATGCAGCAGGAGCAGTGAGTGATTTAGTAGCTCAAATTACAGTTCAAATAGAGACTGCTTGGAAGAGGAGTGAAGCCACATCCTCCTTGTCATACTGCTCAAAGATTGCTTCTGCCAAGGCAGGGAGAGACTTCTACAGGCAAACCTTCCCCAACCCTGAGAGCCCTCCTATCACCAGATCTCTGAGAGAAAGCAAGCCATTCCCACACTAGAACGACAGCATAATGACTGTTACAGTCACAAAGCATGCTTGGCCTTTTCATGTGCAAAGAAACACAAAAAGGCTGCCTGGGCCATAAAACATAAGCTAAACCTGGGTTCCTGCATCTGCTATATAAAATCCCTTGACTGAGCTGTCCCGACTCTGCTGCAGAGGCTTTGCAGTGATTCCTGCAGTAAAAAGACCACTCCTTTATGGTTTAGGCCATTTTGCTGTTGTATGGAAGCTTTGAGCTTATCTAGCAAATGAAGTTTAGCACTGCAGCACTGTAAGAAGAAAATCATGTTGAGTTTGATTCCTGTTTGAGGGGAAAAAGCCTTGAAGAAAAGTGTGTACTTCAGTTACCTACATATATTTAGTGAAGAGAAACAAGATACTGAATTGAGCCTATGCTCAAGGAAACCAAAGTGACCACATTTACAAGCAGCACTTGTCCTGCTTCAGTTTTTGAGCTTCAGTAGTAGCTTTAATAACCTACATTGGTTTAGGGTTAAGTGACATTTGTCCTGCTATAAGCTGGCTTTTTAAGTGAAGCAACAGCAGCAATAAGCATGTAGTGTTTCTTCAGCTGAAAGCCAGCAGAGCTGTTGTGGTTTAACCACTTGGGTGTTTATAGTCTCTCACAAAAGGGCTCAACCTGTGCAGGCAGAGCCAGCTTTCAGTTATTAAGTGTTACAAATCCACCTGCTTTGAGATCTTTGGGTTCAGCTTTGTTTCAGGAATTGGGCAGTTTTGAGCAGGAAAGAGCAGGATTTGTCCTCATTGGAAAGAGATCACCTTTCCTTGCACACAAGGGCCAATTTTAGAGTCATCTCAGTTGTACCAGAAACTCAATTTCTTTACAGATTAATTTCAAGTTAACAGAGCACAGCAGTGAGAGCATCAGCAGAGCTGTGTGTACACACGGGACAGAACCTCACAGAAGACATGAAAAATGTTCATGTTCTGAATCTTTCCACAAAGCACCATCAATACCTATTCCCATCTCAAAGCTGCTGCAGACAGAGCAGCACTGTGCTGCTCCTGCTCAGTTCAAGTACCATTTTACACATTCCCTATATTGACAGTCTTCCTTTTCTCACTGGGATTCAAAAGGTAAGATAGAAGAACACTAATTGTAGAGCTGCAGATGAGTGTGTTCTCTTCAATCAGCTCACAGGTGAGTCTGTACCAGATTCCCAAAACGTCTGGGAAGAAGGGAAGGAAATTAAGGTTTTGCCATATTTTTCCCCCCTACTGTTTAGGCCCCAGGCTATGTTTTAGTGACAGGACTGTGTCACAAATCACTTAGAACCTTCCTCTTTGCCATGCACATATGCAGGAGTTTAGCATGAAGCCTCAAGACACAAGGCAGTGTCAAGGCTGTCCAAAGGTTTCCTGTCACATCTGACATGCCATTCACAGCCCCACAGATCCCTGCCAGTGTCATCCACCTGCCTCCTGTACAGCTCTCACGGGGTTGATCCAAACCAGATTATCACAGCAAAAGCATATAAAATATAGTCTGGTTTGTTGTAACAACACACATCCAATTTGTATGTACATTCTGGGTAGGAGAAGCAGTTAGTGGAAGTGCATAGCTCAGTGTACTCACCTATTCCTCTCTCTAAGGTATCTCCAAAACTACGAGACATTCCCATTTCATTTCTTCCAAATTCTCTTTCAAATCCTCCACCCATGGCACGATCCATGTCTGCAAAGACCAAGTTTGAGATGTTCTACATGGCTCCCAAGAAAATGTTTTAATGTGGCATCAGTTTTAAAGATTATGATCAAGGCAAGTTTGTTATTATGTTCTCCTGAGCATTTTATTGTGGCTTCTCAAGATCCAAAACCCAACCCAATGCAGGACTCGTCTCTCCATGGACAAACACAATCTGAGGCGGCCACTTTGCTCTGGAGCCACCTTTTGGTGCGTACAGAGAGCGCAATTTCTCTCTTCCTAAATTAGTCCTTAAAAGACAAGACCAGTGAATTACTTGTGGCCTCTAAGCTGCAGGAAACAAGTGACTTGTAACATCCCATCAGTTGGGAGCTTTGAGCTCTTCTCCCAGCAGAAGCTGAGAAGATGATGACGAGTCTGAAGACTTTCCCCAGCATGATGCTTTCAGAGAACACAGCTCAGGAGTGGGATACAAGAACCCTCAATGCCTACCGCTCATTCTGCCCATGTTCATTCCAGCTGGGAAGCGGCCAATGTTCTCAATACCACCGAAGGGACCTTCCATTCCTAAAAGAAAACATTTTTCAGGGATTCTTTAGCAATACTTCAACTGAACCCCACACTTCCCCCACCAGCTGCCTTCACAGAACATTCCCATGAGCACCCAGACAACTTGGTATCAGAGACTCACAAAAACCAAAGTCTGGTCAACACACACAACAAGAACACTGGCTGTGTTTTAGGTGAGGTATCACCCCAGCCCCATACACCTACAGCAGCTTTATTCCTACTCACAAAGGAACAAGTTACTACTAAATCAGTGATGATTTCAAAGAACATAAATGCTGCTAGACACACGTGGCTACATTTACAAAACTTGCAGAAAGCCCAAGCTAGAGACATGCCAAAAAACACAGCTTACCTCCCATCTTATTCATTCCAAAGCCCATGCCTTCCATTCCCATTCCTCAAAATAAAAGAGAAAACTTTATATAGCAGATGTAATTCTACAACACTTAGCCAATATTAGCAAACAGAGACCATACAACATGTCCACAGCTTACATGGGATAACTCTGAGGAGACTGCAACATTCCTTCTCAGAAAACAAAGCAGCAAAGGGGAAAAAACCCATAGGCATTTATCAATTGAAAGCTGAATGTGTGCTACTTTTTAGGTGGCTCTTTCAAACTTGTGCTATTGAAACATATCCTCAACAGAGATTTGCAAGCCCACTAATCAGTGTTAAAAGTGAGAGATGGTTTTCCAAGTTTCCTGGATTATTTGCAGTGTCTGCTGCTCATGCTCAAGAGTCAGAAAATGAGAGCTGTGCCTTGATCACAGTGAAAAAAAAATAATGGAGCAGTTGGTTAAATTCAGGTTTTCATTATCAAGCTCATGACTTAGCCCAACAAAAACTCATTTGGCTTTAACACTCCTAACACACTTTGACTTTTTGTGTTGGCAGAACAAAGCTAGCTACCTTCTACACAGCTTAAAGCTCTCATGAAACAAAAGCATAGGAGTAATCTTCTTACCTCCAGGTCCCATGTTGCCCATTCCCATGCCTTTGTTTAAATGATTTGCATCAATAGGTTGACCTCCAGGTCCTAATCCCATGCCAATACCACCAAGACCATCTGAAGAAAATATTCAGATATCAAAAAAGCCTTCTTTCCATAGTTTGACAAAACAGCAAGTTTTATTCTTAAGTAATTGACTTCTATTCTCCAAAAAGCTTGCTGTGTTCCCACTTTGGGGCATGTACTTAAAGCATGAAAGTGTAGAGTAAATCAGAGTGGATGTGTCTTGAAATAGACTAAAAACTAGCTCAATTTTTCCTCGTCATCCAGTTTCCATCTTATTGCTGAGAAAACTTGCTTGGTTGGTTGGTTTTAAGCTGACTCCTGAAAAATAACTGGCTAGAACACTGCTTGTTTTGTGCAACTCCTCAATCTAAGGAGAAGAGAGTGGGCAATTTAGGATAAAGATCTTCTAACCTTTGCACAATGTTACCCTTGGCTGACAAATGGTTTATTTCCACCTTTGCCAAGGTTCTTTCCTTATAGAATTTAACCACAAAGTTCAACCTATGGTTCTGACAGCCACCTATGGAATTCAGAGCACACAGCCAGCCTCTTCTCTGAGCAAACAAAGCGTATCATTCCCAGGCAGGATTTGGAATCTTCCTGCACCCAATTGAATTAAGGATTCCCCAGTCCAAAGCAAGAGAAAAAAGCCCTCAGATTTCCCTTCATCAGGAAGGAGTTCTCTGCTTGCACTTGCATCAAACACCACCTTAATGGCACTCTTTGCCTATGAGAAGAGGATTTCCTTATTTCCAGCTCAGCATAATAAACACAGGAAGTGTTTTAAAACCAACACAAGACACCCCTTCCCCATCCCACGAAAGGCCAAGAAACAGTTTTCCATTGGTATTTGTTGAGTTTTCTAGAACCCAGGGACTTGCTCTTGAAGAAGAGGTACATCATTAGAGAGAGTCAAGGCAGCAATAAACCCCACAAGCAATACTGCTGCTGCTGCACAAGGCTTTCAGAGACACAGGAAACTAACTCAGGGATGGGTTGGTTGATGATCACTGCAGTTGTGCAAGTGAGCAGCACACCACAGGTTTGGTTCCCATCCCGCAGGAAACAGCAGCCAGCTGATGAACAGGATGACCTTAACAGCCCCACTTCATGAAGCCTGTGTTCTCCTGCCTCCAGCTCTTCCCTTCCAACCCAGACTCTTCCTGTTCAATACTTTCAGTATCTCATCACAGCAGGGTTGAAGCTGGAAGGAACCTCTGGAGGTCTTCTGCTCCAAGCCCACCAGTTCAAACAGGGCCACCTACAGCTGGTTGCCCAGGACCATCTCCAGACAGGTTTTTAGTACCTCCAAGGATGGAGACTCTGCAGGCTCTCTGGGCAACCTGTGGTTCCAGTACTCAGTCACCCCCACAGAAATGGTTCTCTATATTCAGATGGAGTCTCCTGTGTTTCAGTTACTGCCTCTTGCCCTGTCACTGGCACCACTGACAAGGGCCTGGCTTCCTCTTCTTTACACTCTCCTTCAGGTATTTATATACACTGCTAAGATCCCCTTTAGACCTGGAAGATTCTCAGGTCCTCAATTCAGCCCTTTCAGCTGAAGAACACCAGATATGAAGAAAACCACCCCACAAAAGGAAGTACACTTTTCCCTACTAATTACTTAGCCATTAAACCCCACTATTAACAGTGGTTTTACAAGGCATGGGGTCTCTGAATTGCAACTGAGAAATTTGAAAGCCTTCAGCATCCTGTTTCAGACAAGCTTCTAGCTCTGAGCTGAAAGGAGTATCCAAAAAGACAAGACTGAGCAGCTCTTCTTTACTATTTTCCCTTTTGATTCTAGTCAGACAATTTGGATCCCAGCTTTCCAAAGTCTGAACTAGAGTCTAACTGGGGCTGGGATCAGGCCCCAGTTGCTGAACAGCAAAATAAAACAAGTAACATGTTCAGTCATGGAAGAGAGACTTACGAGGGAGTTGCTGGGGTCGTTCTGGGGGGAAGAAGTCTCCTTTGGGAAAGGCTCGTTCATCCTGAAGACAATTTCACACGTGAAAGTTTGCAAGAAAAGGAAGAAATTAGTTCTTGCCCTCTCCCCCTTTTTTCTTTTAAATTAAAACACAGCAACTTCAAGGTAAAGCAGTGTGCACTCTATTTCTGATTGTCCTTTAGCAAAATAAGCAGAATTAACCCACCCTGATGGTGTTAAGTTGACATCACTAGGAATTAAGCAAGTCAGACTCATGGAATGGTTTGGGTTGGAAAGGACCTTAAAGCTCATCCAGTTCCAACCCCCTGCCATGGGCAGGGACACCTTCCACTAGAGCAGGTTGCTCCAAGCCCCTGTGTCCAACCTGGCCTTGAGCACTGCCAGGGATAGGGCAGCCACAGCTTCTCTGGGCACCCTGTGCCAGCGCCTCAGCACCCTCACAGGGAAGAGCTTCTTCCTTATATTTATCCTGACTCTCCCCTGTTTCAGTTTAAACCCATTGCCCCTTGTCCTACCAGTAGAGCCCCTGATGAAGAGTCCCTCTTTGACATCCGAAGTCACGCACACACACACATGTGTGTGTTCCACCCCAATTATACAACCTAACCTTGAAAGCACACATCACCCAAAGCCAGGAGCACATTTAACACTCCCTAAAGCAAGAAGAGTTTGAATGTACTCACCATTTTTACATGCATTGGTCTGTCAAACAGCAGCTGCCCATTAAACATCGCTGTGGTTTCATTAAGGATCATTGCTCAAGACCTAGGACCAAACTCTTAAAGCTTTAAGCACTGTCTGATACAGAGTACAAAATCCCAGTCAGAAAACACCACCTCTCCAGACCACTTCTTCAGCTATCAGTCACACATTATCAAATACCCTTTTGCTTTCTCCAGAACAAAAAAAGCTTTGAAATCCAGATAACTGAATAGTCAAAGAATGGCTTTTTCAAATTAAAACAGGAGGTGTAACACACTCTTCTGCTTAAGTTCATCAAGAGACCACTCCAAATGTGACTCCAAACCAGCCTGGGTGTTCAAATGTCTCATCAGTAACTCTAGCCATCTAAAACAGGAGAAAACAGGCAAAAGTTCAATGTTTCCAACTCAAACAATAGCCAAATTTGGAATATGCCACACTAATGAATCACATGAAATAGACAATTTCAAGTCTCACTCCCACAACACTTCACTTACAGGGTGCAAATGCTGAATGCAATCAACATTCAAACAGCACCCTGGGGAGGGTAAAGAGGGAAATACTTTCCTCCTTTCCCTAGGAAAGCTCATGCACACAGCAGTACCTGTACTTTGTTGCAGTGTGGTTTGGGGTTTCTGGATTGCTATGTAACACACCAGTCAAACCATCTTACACAGCAAGTGGATCTGGTGTTTCTTCCTTTGCCTCCACCACAGAAACTGAAGACAAATCCTTTCTCAGAAATTGCATTTTAATACTAGCTACAACCTAGAAAGAGGAATTGATTATTTGGGCTAGAAATACATACTTGCAGGTAGGAAAGAGAATCAGGTTTGTTATTGATCCTGAGCCTACAGCAACAATTCTTTTAAGATGGACTTTCTTGTTTTCCAGTTTTCCTTTCATTTTCCATCCAGGGCAATATCCTCACTTGTAATACTACAGTCGAGATTTTCATCCTGCTTTGTTTGCCAAGTTACTTGCCTACTGTTTAGCACCATTACTCTTCAAGGATACATATGGCCTGAACAGCCTCTATAGCTTGCTCAAAAGTGACAGTGCCAATGCCACGACTTTTGCCATCTTTATCTTCAAGTATGTCTGCCCGAACCACAACTCCAGCCATGCTGAACACCTCTTTCAGTTTCTTCCAGCCAACCTTGTAATCCAACTGCAAGACAAGAAATATTGGAAAGAGGAGAAAGATTTCCATCAAAACCCAGTTTTAATGCTCCTTCATTTCCTTTCCTGCTATCGGGCAGCTTCAGAAACAAGAGTCTTCACAGAGACAGGATAACATTTAAATAGCATCAGGAATGCTCCAGAACTTAATGCAACATGTTGGGCTTTGCTCAAAAACACAAATTAACAGACACCGTAGCATACAGGACACATCTTGATTTACAGCTTCACTAGCACAGAGCATCAACAAGACTAGCCACAGCGTAAGTTACTACTCAGTTTGACTGGAATAGAGCTAAATGTCTATGGCTGTTCTTCTCATTCATTACATTTAACTCAGTTAAGACCCAGTTACTCCATTCATGGATCACACAGCACTTACATTTGCAACGAAGACAGTGCTCCCAAGTCTTCCTGCCTGTAAAGCATGGATGATCTCATTGGGTATGTTAGGGTTGTTGAGGATACTGGGAGGGATATTGATCATGCCGGGGCCACCCGGGCCTGGACCAACCCCCATTCCACTGGCTGCTGCCATGACCTTCTGCATCGCTCTCCTGGCGTGCTCCCCATCAGGGTCCTGCAGACACAGAAACAACACACTCTGTTCCCTCTGTACTCCACTAAGTGCCTGGGCATTTACTGGCATGACTAAGACATGCAGAAGAAGAAGGGGTTTCCCTTTACCCAGGGCTACCTGCTCCCTAGAGACCCCTCACCAACCACTTCACCCATCACTGCCACCCCCCATAGTTAATTTTCTCCTAACCAACATCTGCCAAGTTACCCCAACTCATGCATTTCCACCAAGTCTGAAAGTGTTTATCTGTTATTCAAGACCAACAGTAAGCCTCAGCTACACGTGTTCCAAAGACTGACGCACACAGAATGGCATTGGAAAGGCTTCAGAAGACAAAGGCCAACTAACTCTTGGCATCCTCAAAACCATGCAACAACTCATTGATCTTGCACTTGGACTTCCTGACAAGCCAAGAAACAGTGTCTACATCAAGATGATTGGTTTTGGCAAGGCTTCCCCCACCCCCTATGGCTTTCTAACCCCAAAAAAACCTTTTAATGCATCCCTCTATTACTCCATAATCTCATGATTTCAGGACATGCTGAAGAACAAGAAGCAAAGGATGAAGAATTCAAGGAAGGAAATAAGATTACTCCTTGTCACTTTATACTCGCGTGACCATAAGCACCTTCACAATAAAGGTGAACTTGTTGCTTAGGTTGGAAACATCACACTGTGTTCAGTGAGCAAAATGCACCAGACTGCTGAAGAAGGTGAAATGTCAAATAGAATCAGTCAGAAATACAGATTCTTTTAAAATAAAAGCTATTTGAGTCTTGATCTGAATTTGAAGACTAAACAACAGCACACTTTGAGAACAGGAGCAAGGTAACTTTGACATGAGTGCTTCAGCTACAGGAAGTCACAGCAGTCTGAGGTAGAGAACAAACTAAAGTGAATCAAGTCACTTCTCAAGTTTAATTTCCTATTTCACTGTTAAAATAAGGTATCACTTGAAACCAGATTAGCTCCAATAGAAACCAAGAGGGGTTTCATACACACTGAAGTCTTCTGATCAGGGAAAGGGCTTCATCTATTCTGTTTTTATTATGTCACTTGAAGGCCTCCATGCTCCTCAGCAGCGAGACAGCCAACAAGAAGCAGTATGCACCAGACAGTTGGCAAAACTGATGCCAATGGTCATCCACAACAACTTAACTCATTCCACACAGTCAGACTGGAGCACAGGTTGTGAAGTCCCTAATACTGGTAAAATGCTTCTTCACTGATTTCAAGCGTCATTTCAGTTTGTTCTCTTTCAGACAGAACTATTCAAGTATGCCAACAGTTTCATGGAGAGCTGGGCAGGTTACACCACCTCTTCTCAAAGGGCACCACCTGATATCAAAGGGCAACCTGGTATCAGTATTCCAGTACTGATGGTGGATCATTAACAGGAAAACTGACCCAGGCACAGGCCATTCTCAATGGCTTTTTCTTCCCCATACTCCTTAGAAAAGCCAGTGCCTGGTGACTTCCAGCTGCAATCAGCTTTTTCTAACCTTCCATTTCACCTCTTCTTCACTTTAAAGGTAGTGAGAGGTCACCAGTGCCAGGAGGAGGCTTATTCCAGAAGCAGGCTGCTGCTCCCAACTTAGGAAACTTGAGAGATCTGAGAAGTGCTGCCACTTGCTGTTCCATCCTTGCTCCCAAGTGCTCCTCAGACTATAGCAAGAAGCAGGTTACCAACGGAATACCTTCTGCACACAGTTCTGTGTTACACTCATGCAGATGTCTTTCACCCCACCATTAACTGGGCAGGGCACAACAGAATATGGAGCCTGCTTAGCCAAGAGTGTAGCTCACATACCCCAAGGCCATGTCAATGCCAACACCAAAGTAAATCCTTTTATTGTTGTTTAGTTGAACCTTCAATGAAGCTACAAGTTCCAAACTGCTGGAATAACCCTTTAAACTTGTTGCTGGTCAAGAATTAACTCATTGCTCACTTGTCCATGTCATACAGGTTGACAGTGGTGCAGCTGAGCATGTCATACTGGTTGACAATAGCAAAGCCATTAAAATGGAAATAAATCTTTGAAGGATGTCAGAAAACGCTTGCTCAATGGATTTGTGTGTAGAATACATTCCTTAGGATGCAGAATTAAAAGGGAAGGCAGTCAAGAACAAATAGTATTTACGCAGGTTTCTTCTTAAAACCACTAAACAAGAAAGTAGACCTGCAGTTAAAGCCAAACTCTTGCTCTGCCCAAGCTCTGCACTGTGACCATCAGCACCTACTCTTTAAATCAATCTTAGCCCTGATCATCATGTTCAAACTCAAGCTCAGCAGTATGTGCCAATGGTAAAAAGTGGCTGACTGTGGTTTTTCAATCCTATTTGATGCGTCCTAACTTTTGTCAATTATTCTTATCTACAAATGCGTAAGCCATAAATATAAGAACTACCCCTTCACCTTCAAATTCAACATACTGAAAGAACAGATGCACGTCTTACTTCTTTCACTTTCAACGGTCTTCCACCAAGACTATGCTTGTTCAAAACCTCTGCAGCCTTTTTCATGCTTTCTTCCATCTTGAATTCAACAACACTGTGGGGATACAAGATAGCTAAGAACATTGCTGATCTTTGAAGAGCTTCCTCAGTTCTTGCTATAAATTCAGAAGTGAACTTACGCGCATCCCTGGTGAGGTGATTTCACAGGCGAGGAACAGGGAGGAGGGAAGAAAGAAGAAATCAAGTCAGTAAAAGCACAACACACACAACTTGTTCATTTTGTTTTAAAGTCAAATCACATTAGTCAGCCCTAGTAGCAAAACCAAATGTAATCTTACCCAATAAAGCCTCCAATACTTGAAATCCATAAGATATAATTTGTGTTAATGGGGTTAAACTGTTGATTCTGAAGTTGGCACAAACAGAACTAAGTCCCGATTCTCCAAGAAAAATACCACACGCTTCACGTGACCTGATCTTCCCTGGCATCCAGCAAAGCCCTCAGCATATTCTCTAACTCTAAATCCATCTCCTTCAGTACAGGTAAGTGTGCTCCTAGTGGGTTGTGACATACTGTCACTGGACTAAAGGACCTAAGGACCTATGAAGGCACTATACATTTATGCATAGGAACTGACTTCCTGGCACAGGAAGTGTACTTACAGAACCTGCTCTTGCACACTAGCCTTCCAGATTCAGCAAACCACTACACTGACGTTATCCAAAACACAAGGATTACATTAAATTCCATACCACTATACATACTGCTAGGGTCAAACAGCCAACACCAACTGAACACAGTGGAAAACCACCCTAACACTGATTACAAGGCCCCATCCCACCTCCTCCCCACCCCAAAAGCAGCTTTAAGCAATCCTATGGTGTAGCCACTAACCATACACACTCTCTACCTTCCTGACGCCACCATACAGTTACATTTGGCATGTAGAAAATCCACAGAAGAAAGCTCTCAAACACTTACCCTTGACTTTCCTTCAGCGTCCATTAAGAGCTCCACGTATGTTACCTCACCAACTACAAATCAGATTCCAGACGACACATATACCAAGGGAGAAAAGCCAAGAAAACAATGGGAATTTAGAACAATCAACAACCGTGTATGGAGCCTCTGCCTTATAAGCAAGCCCAGAAACACTCCATGTTCTCTAGACCACAAAACTGGACAATTACAGGTATGCAGTAAAGTCTTAAAGCAGTTAAATATGTTCTTGATCTTCCTCCACTTCAGAAGCCAGCTACTGCCACAGTTATCTCTTGCCTTGATCTTTAGTACTCACTCCTTACTCGAGACAATCCAAATTCATAGGAAAGTCTGCAAGAACAAGTCTCCTTCACTTCACTAGTATGAAACCTTGTCTCCATAGTCCAGGACTTTAAGTCCAGAGAAAAGCAAATAACTTCAATACCAACTTCCACAAAGGGGGGTCACACTGAACCAACATACAACTGACTGCCTACTATTTATTTCAGCAGGTTTTCAGCCTTTTGTTAAGCCAAAATCAAGTCCATTTCCCAGTTTCAATAAGTAGTATGAAACAGTTTGACATATTTGCTCTCAATACAAAACCATCTACAGCAAAACACACTGAAACAACATCTGCACCTTTCCTCCCAAGATCAAGATTGCCTTTTTATGACCACAGAATCACACCATGTACCTCCACAACACAACTCCAAAACGGCTGCTGCTTGTGAAGTGACTGGCATACAGAAGGATCATGGAAGTAAACAGGTTTTCACTTCTTCCTGGTTTTAGAAGTCCTAGCTTTTCCTTTTGAGACAGGAGGAGTCCAGGTTGCATTAGCTGAAAGGTGGAAAGTGGTCTGTGGGAAACCACTACCCAGTGTGAATACTGACAGTGTGCTTTGAGTAGGGAACTTGAATCTCACATTCAAGAGTAGTTCTTAGCAAGGGACAGAGGGAAGAAGAGGTGACCTGACCTCCCACAGAACCAGTCAGGGCACCCAGTGTCATGATGTAAAACGAAAATCCTGAAATGTCTCTGTCAAAGCTGGAAGATTTGTGAAATCACCACTTTAGCTCCTTGCTTTTTATTTAAATACACAAATAATAAGCAATAACAGCATTCCAGCCAGAGAACAGTTCAGTGAATCACAGACTGCTTTGGGTTGGGAGGGACCTTAAAGCTCCTCCATTTCCAACACCCTGCCATGGGCAGGGACACCTTCCACTAGAGCAGGTTGCTCCACGCCCCTGTGTCCAACGTGGCCTTGAACACTGCCAGGGATGGGGCAGCCACTGCTTCTCTGGGGACCATGTTCCAACCCCTGTGGCAGCGTCTCAGCACCCTCACAGGGAAGAACTTCTTCCCAGTATCTAATCTAATTCTCCCCTCTGGCAGGTTAAAGCCATTCCCCTTGTCCTGTCCCTCCAGGCCCTTGTCCAAAGCCCCTCTCCAGGCTTCTTGTAGCCCCTTTAGGCACTGGAGTTGCTGAAGGTCTCCCTTTAGGAGCCTTCTCTTCTCCAGGCTGCAGCAGCCCAGCTCTCTCAGCCTGTCTCCAGAGCAGAGCTGCTCCAGCCCTCAGAGCATTAGCTAGAATTAACTAGAGAGAATAAACAAGCTCTGATCCATTCAGGTGTTTGAGGACAGCATCTGAGACTGGAATAGAGTAATAAGTCCCTTTGAAAGGGACAGGACAGGTCAGAGTGTCTCATTACTACCCACAGCTCCACTACCTAAACAATACTCCCTGAAATAAAGCCTAACAAAATGAATTCCATCCTATGATCTGATTAATATGGGATGTGATCAGTATAGGATCCCACCGTGTACACAGAATTGTTTCCACAGCCTCTGTAGTGAAAGGGGCTGCACTGTAACCAGCCCTCCTGGCCTAGTCCTTGGTGGTACATGGCAGCCAGGCACCAAGCCCAAATACTTAGCCTTACCAAGACATTCTGAAGCCATCCATTCCAACAGCAGCAGCCAGAATTCAACCCAAATGTGTTCATAGAATGCAACTATCATTCATTAATGTATGTAGTAAGAAATTCTCCCATCACCTGCAATACTACACCACTCCTTCCCACAGAGGCCAGAAGCCCCTGGATTGAGGGCTCTCCGCTCCCAACCACTAATGGAATTCAGCTACAATTCCTCCTTCAGATCCACACAAACACTTCCAAAGGAGCTTGCCAAGCTTGAATGTAACATATTAAATACAAATCTCTGCCCTCTGAGCCACAAGGTTTCAGGAGTCTGGCACAGCAGCACTTGTCCATCACTTGCAAAATCTCTCCTGCGCCACTTTTGCTCAGTGCTTGATGTTCAAGCCTTATAGACACCTCTAGTAAAAACTAAACGTACATCTTGAAGTAGCTGTTCTCCTTCCAAGGAGATGTGAACTTCCTGAAAAGCCAAATTAAAGCAGCAAAAAGTGGAACACACAAGTAATGTACGAGCTCATTAACCAAGATACCAAGTCCAGAGTAGAGAACTACTGCAAGAAAAATGCCTTCATCCCCCCTCCCCTCCAAAAACATACAAACCAATTCAACATGACACTTGTTCAAAGACACTACTGTTTGAAGCTGGCAAAGGAAACTTCTTTAAGAGCCTGTGCTGGGTCACATCTGATTTGGCTTTTTCTAGATCCCAAACCACTGGATATGGGGATACAGCAGCAAGGGTAGTCTACAACAGTGCACAGGCAATAAAGCCATGCAAAAGTACCCAAAGCAGACAGCCCAGTACTAAACCACTTGAGAGGGCAGATGTAGTGCCCAGTGATTCAAGCAGATTTTCCTTCTGCTAGAGAACAGTTGGCTTCTATCAGGAAACAGATCCTGTATCCACAGGTGAAGGAATTTCATTCAAGCACATGAGACTGTTACTTAAGGAACTCAGGTTTCTTATTGGAGATAAAACTTGCAGGAAACACTAGCTGTAAGTCAATGCTGGTATCATGAAGGAACACGTTCCCCATCATGTCTTTAAAGCTTAACTCAGAGCAGACAGATGTTTCTTTTTAAACCTCACACTTTGAACAAGGGACTGAAGCAGAAATCACTGCAAGAACTCAAAGAACAAACCAAAGGAATCTCCAGTGTTACTTATTACAGTCATTATTTTCCCCCCCTCAAACTTTATATCCATTTTCCAAAGCTCATATGGACAGAAAGTGAATCTGTTCAAGCCAGGCTGGTCTGTCAGAATTCAGATACTCTCCAGTCACTGCTGAAGCTTGAGGCATGGCTCAGATGGCTTCCCCTGGCCCTAAAGACAGGGCAAGTAACTGGGATACAAGCTCAGACATGGATGTCAACCTCAAAGAGTCTTAAGTTGGGCAAGAGGAGTTGAACAGTGACAAACCAAGCAGCAATGAAAGATGAGAAAGGAAGAGAGGCAAGTGTCAGCAAAAGGAGAAGCACAGAACATGAAGAAAGGATAAATGTTTTCTATCAGTTATTTCTTTGGCTTAGAGGGTCAAAAGTGAATACTAAATAGGGAAGGAAGACTCTCAAGACATTACCAAAAGTACATGGATGTCTCATCCTCTTCTGAAGTAAAAAACTACAAGCAGTGTGACTGCTTCAAGAGGACCCCCTGATCAGGAGCCCAATACTTTAAACATAAGGCAATAATTCAGAGGTGGTCACAGCTCCTCTTTCATCTACAGATGAAAGCTTATGACAGGCAATCCCTAAAAAAGTATGTGTGGCCTTGGGCTGGAGAAGAAGAAGAGAAACACACTTCATACACGTATAAAATTGCAGCTAAATGGGGAGAAGGAAAACCTTCCTAAAGTAGAGACAGAAGAGTTCACAAGCTATTCTTTTACAGTAGGGGAAGGGAAATCTCATTTTCACATGAGAACCCAGGAAAAAACATGGATGATTTTGGCTCTTTAAGAGCCCAAGCAGGAAAGAGGAAGTGTGTCGTGGTTTAAGCCCAGCTGGTAACTCGGAACCATGCAGCCGCTCGCTCACTCCCCCCCTTCTTCCTCCCCCCACTCCCAGAGGGATGGGGAGAACTGGAGGAATGTAACTCCCACGGGTTGAGATAACAGCACTCCAGTAACTAAGGTGTAATACAAACCACTGCTGCTACCAATAATAATGATAAGGGAAATAACAAGGGAAAAGGACACAACCGCTCACCACCCGCCGACCGATACCCAGCCCGACCCGAGCAGCGATCTGGGCCTTCCGGGGAACTCCCCCCAGTTTATATACTGGGCATGACGTGCTGTGGTATGGAATAGCCCTTTGGCCAGTTTGGGTCAGGTGTCCTGCCTCTGCTTCCTCCCAGCTTTCCCTCCTCCCTGACAGAGCATGAGACTGAGAAAGTCCTTGGTCAGAGTAAACATCACTGAGCAACAACTAAAAACATCGGTGTTATCAGCATTGTTCCCAGGCTGAAAGTCAAAACCACAGCACTGCACCAGCTACTAAGAAGGAGAAAAAACGACTGCTGTAGCTGAACCCAGGACAAAGACGAAAACCTCATTGCAGCCACTGGTGAAGAACAGTGCCTCCTTGAAAAGACGGGTAAGGCCAACAACATTAAAGAACATCTCCTGAAAGTAAGGGGGAACGAGTGAGATGGGAGCACCACTTCCACACTGCTTAACTGTCCCTTTCTCTTTACCCATCTAAAGCTTCAGCCTGCAAAACACACTGCACTAGAATCCTGGACACCCAAACGCAGGGTCTCTCCAGAGCAGCTGTCTGCAGGTGCTGCAGGAACAGAAGTGGTCCCCAGTGGTAACATCCGGGAGCAGTATCAACCTCTGGATTGAGTACGATAGCAAGAGGTACATTTTAGGAGGCCACAAAGGTTCCAAAAATTCCTGGAGATGAAGCAAGAATGAAGACAGCACATGAAGTTCAGCAGCTGCTGCTCTTCAAAGGAAGCTTAAGATGGGAGAGCTTTGTGGCTTTTCTTCCTCCACAGGTTTTGTTCCGACGAGGGAAGTGCCTGCTCCGTACTCCAGCTCTGCCCTACAGAATGGTGGGTACAGTCAAGCCAACACCAAGAGTCTCTGGGGTGTCCTGCACCCTCTTGGCTGCAACTGCTCCTGGATCTGCAACAGATTGGAACATAAGCGTTGTCTAATTTCACAGCTAATCCTCTTTGCATTGTTTATCATCTCACTGCTCTGCTCAGGAAAAAGATTTCAAATACACAATTCTCTATTTCCTGAAGGAACCAAGAAATTTCTCAAATTCAAATACAAGTTCTTTTTTATCACATGGTACCACCTGACTCACCCAGCTGCCATAAAGCATTACCACTTCTCTCCTCAAGACAGAGCTGTCTGTTGGGGGGACAGATTAAGACACATTCAATCGTGTTTGGACTCCACTTCCATGCTGCCCCATTCTTCTCCTGAAGCCATTCACCAATTGCCAGCTCTCCACGCTGATCATGTCACTTTAGTAGAACCTTGTGCTCATCAGCCAATACGAGGGAGTTTCAAACAAGAACATCTTTTAATTTCATTAATAACTCTTGTACTGCATACCTGTAATTGAGTTTCACCAACAGATACACTGAAATGCCTGAACCAAGGCATTACTCTTGCGAGATGGCACCTTTAGAAGACTGTACGCATCTGAAGCAACCAGGTTGCAGAAATGTGAGCAGACCTCAAAGCTCACGTCTCCTAACCCATACTTACTGCCACAAACCAGCTGGAGGGGAACTCCTCCACGTTCAGCAACCTGCTATGCCAGTGCTGCCAACAGCTGAAGCCTTCACGACTGCCAAGCACTGGAGCAGTCCTGAAACACCTAGGTTCCCCCTTTGTGTACTGTTCCACGTGCTCTCCAAACCTGGAACGGTTGGCCTGTAATTCTTACACTTACAAAGCAAGAATTCTAACGTTTAGATTTTACCACAGCCACATTCCTGGTTCTTGGAACTACTATGCCTTGTATCAAGAAATCCCGATTGAGCAAGTTCAAGCGCAGCCCAAGAGCACCAATTTGTTAGAAGTCAGTGACTGATTAGAATGAATCACAACTACACAGCAGATCTAAACTGGTGGATTTTAACAAGCAGTCCCAAAAACCACGAACAATGCTTCCCAGGCTTTAGCATAACAAGCCCTGCAGACAGAATGAAGAGGTTTCAACGTTCCCCTAGGAGTATCTGCTGGAATGAGCAGCTGAACAGCAAGGCAGGAAACAATCTCACACCGGACTTTTCCATCCACGTGAACTGGAGAGAAACCACAAGACACTTGGAACGGAATTCAACAGAGTACTTAAAATTAGACATCTACACATACAGATACTCCTATTAACCAATGGGTCTTGGGCAGCAAAGTGAGAGCATAGTCTGAGGCAAGGGACCATCCATAATTAGGGCCTCGTAAAGCAGTCTTTAAGACCGTAATTCTTCATATTACAGAAAACCATTGCTCAGTCTCAAGCATGGACATTCCACAGCCTCTAATTATGGAAGCTTCCCAGGGCTCACATCCTGACTGTCCTTACAAGACTCAAGTTCCATTTTGCCTCCAAAGACAAACATTTTCAAACCCTTCGGAAATTTGTTTTCCCCTTCATTAGGCCACACCTTGTGAACACATTAACTCTCATTCCTTCCCTAGTGCAAACACAAGTGAACACTAATCACTCTTTAGGACAGATACGATGTATTTTAGCAGTGACCCACAAGAGGAATGGTTGCCTTAGTTACTCTTAAGTTGTTCTGAATCATTTTGATGATGGAGAAGCCAAGTATTTTCTTGCCACTCCACTGCATTTCCAAGGCGACTTGAAAACTAAAGAAGTTTGGCATCAGCTTAAAGAAGTAACACTACATTTAGACTTGCCACAATGTGAGTATCAGCTCAATGCCTTCATCGTCTCCAAAAGATGACGATGCTAAAGTCAAACTAAGGCAACTCCCATTGCCATGGGACAGTTAAATCCAAGTGGGGAAGGGGGAAACACCATGAACACCATTTCCAAAGCCCTGACTGTCTTGCAGCACATGCCAAAGCACAAACCTCCTTTTGCTTTTGTGCAGGTCACCCTTAAATATATTTTTCTGCAACCAAACGGTAGGATGGATCTTTATCTAAGCACAAATCACTACAAAGCTGGGGACACAGCTGCATAGACACACACCAGGGCAGCAGTAAGGAACTACTTTTATTACCCAAAAGACAGTAAAATGCTTCAGGAAGTTTTGTTGCATGTCAAGGCTAAAACCTGATAAAAGTCTCATTTTCCCCCCCAAGAAAAATACTGTTAGATCTCCGATGAAGCACTATCAGCTCTATGCCAAGATGCGTAGAAAGGAGCATCCAACTGGAAAGCTGCCAGGGAGCAGATGTTGTGCAACACCCAAAAAGGCTTTGGGAAGACCTTTTACGAAGCTCATGGCACTAAGTCCACCCAGCACTTCAAGTGGTATGTTTACAAACAAAGTTAGCCACAAGTAAGATGACAGACATCACTTGGCCACCTGAGTTGTACATTACCTTTCTCTTTGACCAGGTCTTTCAGAGACTGCCACTTCACATCAAAGGGAATATTTGTAATAAAAGCTCGGTATCTCTTAGCAGGATTAGCATATGGCTCAAAGCGATTTCCTCCTCTTTTGACACTTTTCTCTTTCCTTTTTTCATTTTGGCTTGGTCGTTCACCTTCACTGCAAGCAAAGAAAGATAATCACACGCATTAACTACTCTGGCATTGGACCAGTGTCGTACCACCTCCAGGAACAGAACTTGTTACATTCTTAACACTACAGCAAAACTTGCAAAGTTCCATCCATTCATCTTTGCACAACTGGACACCTCTCAACCAAAGCTGGTGCTCAGAGCACCTGAGCTACACAGTGGATTGTAACAAAGACTTCCTAATAGCAGACAACTTATGTCTTGAAGACCCACTGTTCCTCCCACATTTCTGCAATGTAACTCAAGGTTGCCATTTCATAAGCTGAATCTCTTTCAAACCGACCAAGCCTCAGTCCATCTCCTCGTGACACTCCAGACCAGACAGTCCACCCTATGTATGTCCTCCTCAGCCACACCTCTGCTGAAACACCAACTAGGTCAAGTAATTAAACACCATTCAAGTCAAGTAAAAACTGGCCCACCAAAACTGCAGTCTGACACTAGAAGAAACGTATCAAAATAATCCTGCATCTAACTGCACATTCAGGTCAATGACTCTTACCTAAACCCAGCTTTTTCCTCCTTTAATTAATACAGGTTTGGGATGACAAATTTAAAGCCTCTGCGCATTCCACCCAATAGACTGAACAGTGCTTTTAACTACTTCAGAATGCAGCTCCAACAGGTCAAAAATGAAAACTCATTAGAAATTAAGACTATTTCTCAACCAACCTAGTGACCCTCAGGGCTCAGCAAGGCACAAATGGTGAATAACAGCATTTAAAACCCAGGAGAATAAAACACTTCAGCCTTAGACAGACACAATTTCCTTCACTAATCCAATCCATCTCCTTGTTCACTTTGTGCTGGTTGAGAAGATGCAAAAACACACCTTTAGAAAGAATTCAGGAAAACACAGGAGTCAAAAGAGCTGGTCGAGTTTCTAAAACTTGTCTGTACATACACTGAGCTTTTGCTCAACTTAAGACCTACAAAGCCCAAACCATGTCAGAAATACTGGCTCTGATGTGAACACATTCCTGCACCAGCACTGCCCAGGCCCTTAGAACCATTTCAATCACTGGACAGATACAAGAGCCTGCAGGGGAATAAAGGAAACAAGTACACAGATGGCTATGAATCTCTGTATTTGAGCAGGTTCCCTGTTTTATCACTTTTCAGCCACGAGGATATGCTACAAGCAAACACACAACAATATTGTACTTTATGGATACAGCCAGAACAACAAATAGAATTTGCCTCTAAGTATAGTCATCATCCATCACTTCATGTCAAGAACAAGTTCTGCTTGCAAGCAATAAGCTGGAAAAGAGATCTACTCAAATAAAAGATGATTTTTGGTTACATACAGCATTTTCTTCACCAAAAAAAGACATTTGTTAGACCTTCACTCACTGAACTGCTTAAAAGCATCTGAAGTAATGAAGTAATTAAAACCCTAAAAATAGATTAAAAATAGGACAATCCTTCTAAGACCTTAACTTCTGTTTGGCTGGACAAATAACACAACATTTAGTGCTTGTATGAAAAGCTACACCCCAGGTTTTATGGTTATTCCTCAAACTGGAACTAGTTACACTTCCCCTGGGCTGAAGTGCTGTACAACATGCTCTGATGTGGTACAATGCACGCCTTTTTTGCAGTCTTGCATTTAAGGTTCCCAAGTCAGCTTTAGAACACTTCATACCTGGAAAGAACTCAGACAAACCACAGCACCTGCTGTTAAAGACAAGCATTAACCTAGAATACGTTCCTTATTCAGCATTACAAAACCCAGCCAGGTCAAAAGGAAACTACTGCAGCTGCGAAGTTGTTTTCTTCTGCTGGATTTCAGACAACTCCTCCAGGGGTTTCACACACAGGGACAATGACAGGCACAGGTCCACAGAGACTGCTTAAAAGATGTGGTTACCAAGCGTGAAAACAACCGTTCAGGGCTTCTTTGAAGGGAGTTGTAGACAGCAGAAAGGAATGAGTCCCACACCACCCCCAAAATACACCAGAGAGTATTCCTAAGTATCCCTATCAAGGGCAAGGGAGATGAAATACCCACAGCAGCTTTGCCCATCCCAAGAAGGAACCACTCCAAGTAACGGGGATCCATTTACACCAAGGCTAACACAAGATCTACAGAAAATAATGTACTTAAGTGGTACTTTTCAGAAGATCTTTTATTTACCGTGGGGTTTTTCCCTTGGGTTACTAAAGAAAACTTCTCCCCTTTGCGATGTGCATAGAAGGAGGAACTGAAAGGACAGCTCTTATTTCCCCCAAAGAAACAAACTATTACGCACATTCCTCCCCAAATTTTCTTGAACACACCACCTCCACCCAACAAGTGTCCCAGAAATCACTAGAATCAAAACCCATATAGGCACATCCTCCTTCCTGCTCGAGGACACTGTGAAAATACATTCATGCAAACACTGGTGTTACAGCTGTAGACGTGTCAGCTTTGCCACATGGAGCTCAATGTGACAGATAGAACTGTACCTGGATAAAGGAAAAGCTCTCTGCAGAGACTCAGAGTACAACAGGGGCCAGGGCAGGGGGGAAATCAGAACAAAGTAGTAGAAACCTTCACTTATAGGAGGAGACTTATTTATTCCTTAACTGTAAGCCAATTCTGACTGTGCATTACCTCAAGCTGCAGGATCTGCTACAGTCACCACGAGCTCTGAGGTATAAACAGAACCCAAGACATGAACATCCTCCACGTACCAACTTTCCAACAGGAAGAGAAGAGAACATGATGGGAAGATCCTTCCCCAGCCCTGACTAATGCATTACATGTCAGCAGAGCACCAGACATAGTGGCACTGGAATCAGGACATGCCTGTTCCTGCCTGGCAGGAAGAGTTGTGCCTGAGGTATTTTTTCAGTTGCCATAAGCACAGTTTAACTATTTTGTGTTGGAAAAAGATCGATATGAACACTTTATTCCAAAAATAATAGATATGAACATTTTAGTCCAAAAAAGACCTGGGAAGCTGATTACCTTCCTGGTTTTCTGAAACAGAACCCACAAGCTCCAGCAGCAGAGGCAGATGACAGCGGTTTCCCAACTCAAGACACCACCATCTCCTCTCCATACCCAGTTAGTAACTGGGTTACCTACAGACCCCCAAGCTGGCTGCTGTTACCCAGATCTGCCAGCTCTGGGTCAGGCTACAAACACACAACACACCTGGGTGTAACGGCCTGCAGCACCCAGGTATGTAACACACCTCAGGAACAAACCTGACCTCAAGTCCCAAACGTTACTCACAGAATATCAGGTTCAAAATCCTGATTCTTATCTCCACAGTACTCAAGGCCTGCGGCCAAAAATTAACTGGAGAAAATGGGTTGTTCATTCCACAGATTTCGTATTAGCTAAGTAAGAGCTTTGCTAACAGTGAAATTTTCCAGGATTAGGTTACATGAACACAGGATGGCAACAAGCAGTTCAAGCTTTTTCACCTCCATTTGTAACCCGTACACGTTCCTTTTTAAGTCTCTGCAACACAGATTGACATCAGACACACAGCCCTTACTTAGTGCTCAGCACCCCCTTCGTGCTCTTGCTCTCAAGGCATTTGTGTTTCATATTGCCAACCCACTCCACTCATAACCATCAACCTCGGAACACAGCATGCTTTCCACAAACCCTGCAGCGGTATGAGACCAGGTCGATAACAGCTTAACTATCACAACTTACTATTGGCGGAACAAAAAGCAATGAATTCAAGACAATCCTGCGCCTCTAGGGGACGGTTTAAGCTGTCCGCTGAGACCCAGCACAAACATCTCCCAAGTGGGACAGACAAACACCTCCAGGGCCTCCCTGGCAGCCATACACCGGGCCCTGGCAGTGCACAACGCGCCAAGCCTTGGCACCGGCTCCTTCCCCGCTCCCACCTCAGCCTGCGGGAGCCCCCGGACGCGCCTTCCCGGCGGGTAGGCCTCGTCCTGGCTC